GTCAGCTTTCCTGCTCCTCTGATGCTGCTTGGCCTGCTGTGTTCATCCAGCTCTAAACCTTGTTATGTCAGATTCTCCAGCATCTGCAGTTCCTACTATCTCAGAAACAATATTGAAACTGTGACATCTTGTCCAAATGTATTAACTTTCATGTAGTTCTTGTGCTGAAACAGGATTACATGTTGACTGACTTAATTGGATGTGTGTGTATCACTGGCAAGGCCAGCATTTATTGCCCATCCCTAATTGCCCTTGAACTGAGTGGCTTGGTCAGCCATTTTGGAGGACATCTAACAGTCAGCAACATTACTGTGGATCTGGAATCACATGTAGGTCAGACCAGGTAAGGATGGCAGATTGCATATCATAAAGAACAGCAACGAACCAGATAGGTCTTTATAACAATAGGCAGTAGTTTCATGGTTGCTGTTAATGAGATTAACTTTCAATTCCAACTATTATTATGTAAAGGAGATCAAAAGAGTCATGTCCATCTGTTTACTTTTTTCCATGCTTTTGTCAATAAGAGTAACATTTGTGCAGTGCCTTACCAGAAACAACATCCCAAGGTGCTTCACAGAAACATAATCATAAAAAGAAGTGGAAGTTGAACTGAAGAGGGAGGGAAATATTAGGAGAAATGACTGAAAACTGAGTTAAAGAAATGGGTTTTCAGAAAGGACCTAAAAGTGAAATGAGTGGTGGAGAGAATTTAGAAATGAACCTGAAAGCAGAATCTGGAGATAAGTTAAGGTTTGGCAGAATGAAGCATGCTGAAGGTTAAGGGATTACATCAATCACTTTTTCAGAATTTCCTTTAATCATTATCGTTTCCTCTCTTAAGGAAAAGGAATGATTACGCTTATTCAGTTAATAAAAAGATAAAGCATGAATGTGTGATAGGCCTTTTTAATAAACACTGGTCTACTGATGTAATTCTGTATGTTGTGAATACACTAATGCAGAATTGTCATCACCACTGGAAAACTAGTCAAATCATGTGGTACTAAAGCTAAATAAGTGAATGTCATCATAGTCCCAGAGGCTGCTTTCTCAGTAGAGAAAAATGACTGGCTGTGACTTTAACCTGAGGGCCACAATGCCTCAAGCAAGGGGTGAGATTGAGAAGGTGGGACCTCACAGTGACCTCAGCTTTTAGAGGAATTGAATCATGTTGTTAGTATCACTCTGCATTCCAAACCAACCAAGCAATCCCAAAGCTAAAATTAATTTTGTGAGATAATACTTCGTCGATTTAGAGAAAACAGTCTCTGGATACTTTGAAAACTAGCAGTTCACAAAAAGAATGAGTTTGAAATTGAATTAAGGAGAGCTGCAAATTGGGCATCAAAATCAGGTATTCATTGTACATTATGAACATTTTTCTTTCCATTAAAGCCAAAATGGACTGGATGTGTAATGGACAGGGAATACATTACCATTTGTGATGTACCATCTGCCAAAATTGGATTTCACCCCCACATGTTTTCTAATTTAAGGTTTGGGGACTTCCTAATCCAGAAAATCAATGATTTATTTTGTTACAGTTGAGGTAACTGGAGAAAATCAGCCAGAAATTAAATACATACCCAGCCCTGTTTTGGAAGAGTATGATTTCCTCCCATTTCTACTGTCATCACTGGCGCATACAAAAGCTACAGCCAGGAAATAGCTGACCTGTTCCAAGGCCTGCACCGGTACATTTGTGAACATACTGCTGTACATTCAAAAAGAACTTGCAAAATGTAATTTTCATTCAACTCCATTGCCACATGCTGTGGGAAAATCGAGGGTGTGCCCTGTAACTCTCATTGCGACATGGCTGAAATTGAGAATTCATCACTGAGGAATTGAGGTGCATCCCCTGACTGTGAATCCATATGTTGGTGATCTCAGATTCGATGTATTTATGTAATCTCCACTTAACTAAAACAAATAGCTAGTGACAAGAGTTCATGAGTATCTCCAGCATGAAATAGCGTACACTTGTATGAAATGCTACAATAGCTGCACGGAGGTAACAATTTGAGATAAGTAGTTGAATGTCTTCACAGAAATTTTTCTGAAATTTTTGGTTTGGGAACTTAACTCATAGCACAGTCATAGTTATTTGTAATTTATTTTTCTAAACGAATTTCATATAGCATTTGTTGCCAAGTTAGGAAAATTTAAATGCATAAATGTGTCAGGATTTCAGAAATATATGGATTTATAGGATGTTAGAAATGGTCATGAAATTCAGCAATATATGTTCTTAGCACATCATTTCAAAGTTGTGAAATGTTTGGAAATTATTTTCATGATGTCTTGTTTTATCTCACAAATGAGATGACACATTGGTAAACTAGATTATTTTTTAAGATTTGCCATAAAGGTAAGGCCAAGGATAACGATTTTTTATTTCCTTCATTTAAAGAGCCTCATCGTCCTTGGGGTAACTGCAGAAGGTGCACAGAGGTTTGCGAATCAGCTGTTGAGTTAGCCAAGATTTACAACATTTTTCCAGGTCAAGTTGGTAACAGAGTGCTGCTTCACATAGATACTGCATAATTTTGATTTTCAAAATACTTCTGAATCTTTAATGATGTCTAATGCCGGCAAACTTACTGAGCAACAAATCTCTCAGACCATAGATCCTTTGGAAAAAGATAACTCTAAGGATGATGAACTTACTGCTGAATTGGAAAAAAGGAGCAGAAGTGGTATAATTAATGAGCCACTAAGCAAAGTTCTAAAGAAACCTCGTACATCAACTCGCTTTTCTACATTTGGCAGTACCAGCTCAATGAACGGGCAATTGCCAAATGGAAGTATCTTAGTACATGGAAAAGAATCAACAGTTGTTCCAAACAGTACTACCTCAAAGCACAAAAGAGTCTCGCACATGCTAGATAAATCTGACAGGTCACTGGAAAGCTCATCAGAAATGCAGAATGAAGTGCACATTGCTTCTTCAGACCTTCAAAAGCAGGTAGAACCTGAGCATATTTTCCTCTCCAGTGAGCGAGAAGCTGGGATTTCTGACATGGAGGTGGTATCTGCTGCTGAGGCAATAAGCAGTCCTGTTGATTTACCCTTCATGAGTGGAATTCCCTTGAATCCTGGTGTTTTTATTATGACTCCTGCTGGGATATTCATGGCAGATAGTGCACTTCAAATGGCCGGTCTGGTAGAATATCCGTTGCAGAATGACCTTGCTTCAGCCATTCATTCTGGAAAAAAGAAGAGAAAGCGATGTGGCATGTGTGAGCCCTGCAGAAGAAGATTAAATTGTGAGGAATGCAGTAGCTGTAGAAATCGCAAAACTGGCCACCAAATTTGCAAACTGCGAAAATGTGAGGAACTTAAAAAAAAGCCAACAGCGGCGTTGGAGGTAAGGGTAACTCTATAAGGATTTTTGTTTCAGTTATTTTCTTTTGCCCCAAGCTTGAGAAAAAACTGGGTAAAACCATTCAAACTGCATTCACTTGTGGGGAGAAATAATTTTAACATAATGAAGTGCTGCATTTTAAGAGTGGTGCTTGAAGGATTCACGTAGCCATCAATGCGTTGAGATTGTTTGTTTGTTTGTTTTTTATATCTCTGCTAATTTTATATAATAATTATTGTACAGTATTTCCCTTTCAGGAACACAAGTTCTGCTTAAGCAAAAACTTCAATATTTATGCATTTGCACAAATGACAGTCTGGTCCTTTTCTAGAATTTATTTTCAACTGCTGTAACACCACCCTGTTTTCATGAAATCTGCAGTCTGGATCTTAATTAGCAATTATTGATCCACAGTCACACAAGATACTATTTAAAAAATCACTCGTAAATGTTGTAATCATCCATCCTTTAAAAGATAAGTGGTATTTTACTACAATACCACCTGTTGGTTTATTATAGTGTCATAGAGCTATGCAGCAAGGAAATAAACCCTTCGGTCCAACTCGTCTGTACTGACCAAATATCCTAACATGATTTGGTCCCATTTGCCAGCATTTGGGCTATATCCCTCTAAACCCTTCCAGATGTACCATGTACTCATCGAGATGCCTTTTAAATATTGTAATTGTATCTGCCTCTACTACTTCCTCTAGCAGCTTGTTCCATACACGCACCACCCTCTGCATGAAAAAGTTGCCTCTCAGGTCCCTTTTAAATCTTTTTCCTCTCACCTTTGAACCTATGCCATCTGGTTTTGGACTCTCCTACTCTGGGAGGAAAAGACCTCTGCTTCACCCAATCCATGCCTCTCATCATTTTATAAACCTCTATAAGCTCACCCCTATGCCTCCAACATTCCTAGCTGAATCAGCCTCTCCCTATTACTCAAACCCTCCAATTCTGGTAATATCCTTGTAAATCTTTCCTGAGCCCTTTCAAATTTCATAACATCTTTGCTATAGCAGGGAGATCAGAACTGAATGCACTATTCTAAAGGTGGCCTCATAATGGTCTGTACAGCCGCAACATGACGTCCCAACTGCTATACTCAATGCACTGACCAATGAAGGCAAGTGTACCAAATGCCTTCTTCACCACCCTGTCTAGCTGTGCCTCCACTTTCAAGGAACTATGCAACTGTACCGCTAGGTCTCTGTCCGGCAGTGCTCCCTCGGGCCCTACCATTAACTGTATAAGCCCTACTCTGGTTTGCCTTGTTGCTACTACATAATTATCTCTTTTTTTTTGTTTAGTCAACAAAGTATATTCATTTAAAAACAATGTTTTAATGTTTTTTGTATTTTCAAGTATGTAACTTAAAAACTAATTTGGTATGTGTAATTGTTACTAACAGTGGAAAAATGTAATTCCAGGAATAGAAGAGACATGTGGTATGTTGGAAAAATGTATTTATGGTTTTTTTTTAGAAAGGGTATGGATGTGAGTAATTTTTAAAAAAATTTCAGGCTTATCATCTCTGCCTTCAAGACTTACAGCCACTCATATTACATAGTTTTCTGTACCCTTGCCTTTTTGTCACTCAAGTTTATGTTTAACTTTCCCATTGCAAAGTTAGATGTTTGGTCTGTATTTTCTAATGACATGTTTCATTTGGATTCTGATCACAAGTACATAATTATAAGTTTGGAAAACAGAATATAACAACTGATGCTCAAAATTTGCTGTGATACCTTCAACAGGATTGTAGTCAATGGAATTAAAAGTTGGGAGAGGTGTATAACTGGCACCCATTTTTCACTACTGCTAAGAGTCATCTGGCCGAATAACAGTCTTTTTAAGAAAGGAATTCTGCCATCCTTCCCTGGTTGCCCTGTATGTGACTTCAGATCTATGCACTGCAGCAGGCTCTGAACTGTTCTCTGGTATGACACAAGAAGCCACACAGCTATGCAAACTGCTACTGATGAAACGTAATAAGAATAAACCGACACAGATCAGTCACCTTTATAACAGGCACCTGATTTGTATATGGTAAAGGTGCACTTTGCCCAATAGACCCTAGGAAGTCTCCCTCACTGACACATGGGAATTTGTACCAAAAATAGGAGATCTAACCTGCAGATCAAGCAACAACTTGACAGTCAAAAGTAAAATATTTCAGCTGCCTGTTGGATATCTAAACACAGAAAATGATAGCAATACTCGGATCATGTGGAGAGAGAAGCAGAATTAACGTTAGATGTTTTGTGATGGAAGATTGCAGAGCTGTGTTATTGGCCTGAATCTACTAAGTAGTTGCTGTGTCCATCGCCAATTTTTCAAAGAACTACACCATTAAATTCCCAGGGGAAGTCTGTCGAAGTTAAGTGGAATTGGGGAAAGAGTGGAGGCTCCCTCTTTTTACAGCAATGACTTTCATATTCTGACTAACGTTTAAAGGCCCAATCTTTTAATAAATGGATGAATGAATGATTGGTAAGTGGATGAGGTGGGTAGATGGACTAGGCGAGTTAGATGGATAGGTTGGTGAAGTGGGTGAATTGGGGAGTTGGGTTGGGGACATTCGGATCAAGTTGGATCGGTAGTCGGGTTATGGAGGTGGTAATGGTTTAGTCAAGTGATCGGGCCACTGTTAGTCAGGTATTCACGGGATAGTTGGTTCTAATTGGAAAGAACTAATTGGGTCAGTGGGATGCTCAAGTAGGTTCGGTGAGGGTCTGTAGTTGGGCTGTCAGATGTGTGAATGTGAGGTTAGGGAGGGTGTGATCAATGATGCGGGGGGGGGGGGGGTAGTATTTGGATTGTTGAGGGGGCGGACGGTATGACCAGGGGTCAGTTGTGGAGTTACCTGGTTGTTAGACCAAGGCATGGATTTTATGGCGGGAGGTTGGATGACCAAATAGCCTGCTGGCCGTGAGCCAATAGGAAATCCAGCTGCCCTGCAGCGATCTTCTGCTAGGGACAGCCATCATTCTCTGAGAATGGAATATCTGCATGTTGGGGACTTCAAGCCCCATTTCTAGAGATCTGTGAATAATGAATATATATTCTGGCAATAGTATCACCAACCTGTGTTCCAGAGCTAGCCACATCCTTAACCAAGTGTTCCAGTGCAGTTACAACACTGACATCTACCCAATAATGTGAAGAATTGACCATAAAAGGCAAGACAGATGCAACACAGCGAGTTACCACTCTATCAGTTTACCCTTAATCAACAACAAAAGGATGGAAGAGGTTGTCGACAGTGCTATCAAGTGGTACTTGCTCAACAATAACCTGCTGTTCCATTCCTGATCTCATTACAACTTTGGTTCTAGACATTAAGGCAGCATTTAACCAATTGTGGTGTCAAAGAGACTTAACAAAACTGAAGTCAGTGGGAATCGGGGTGGCGTGGGGGGGGAATCTCTCTGTTGGGTGGAGCTACACTTAACACAAAGGAAATGGTTATAGCTGTTAGTCCTAGGACATCACTACAGGAGTTCCTCAGAGCAGTGTTCTAAGCCCGACCATCTTCAGCTGCTTCATCAATGACCTTCCCTTCATCATAAAGTCAAAAGTGGGAATGTTTGCTGATGATTGCACAGTGTTGAGCACCATTCATGACTCCTAAGATACTGAAGCAGTCCATGCTCAAATGCAATGAGACATGGATGACATCCAGCTTACACTGATAATTGGTAAATAAAATTTGCACCACGGAAGTGCCAGGCAATTATCTTCTCCAACAAGAAAGTGTTCAAATATCCCTGCTTGATGTTTAATGGCATTATAATCACTGAATTACCCATTATCAATATCTAAGTGGTTACCATTGACCAGAAACTGTGGCTACAAGAGCAGATCAGAGCCTGTAAATTCTGCAGTAACTCGTTTCTTGACGCTTCAAAACTTGTAAGTCATTCATAGAGTCATAGATACATACAGCACAGAAAAAGACCCTTTGGTCCAAATTGTCCATGCTGACCAGATATCCTAAATTAATCCAGCCCCATTTGCTAGCATTTGGCCCGTATCCCTCTAAACCCTTCCTATTCATATACCCATCCAGATGCCTTTTAAATGTTGTAATTGTACCAGCCTCCACCACTCCCTCTGGCAGCTCATTCCATACACACACCACCTTCTGCATGAAAAAGCTACCCCTTAGGTCCCTTTTAAAGCTTTTTCCTCTCACCTTAAACTCCCAAGACATGAGTCAGGAGTCTGATGGAATATTTACCATTTTCCTTGATGAGTGCAGCTTAATAACAATCAATAAACTTGACATCATCCTCATCAAAGAAACAAACTTCATTGGCATCTGATCTAACACATTCAACATTCACTACCACCATCAATGTATTGTGGCAATAGTACGTACTATCTAAAAGATACACTGCAACAATGCACCAGTCCTTAGACAGTACCCCCCTAGCCTCTGACCTTTTACCACCTAGAAGGACAAAATTAGCTGGTATATGGGAATATCACCACCTGAAAATGTTCTTCAAGCCACACACCAATCTGATTTGGAACAAAATTGCTGTTCCTTCCATGTTTCTGCATCAATATCCTGGAACTCCTTCCCTAACAGCACTTTGGCTGTATCTACATCACATCAAATGTGACCGTTCAAGAAGGCAGTGCACCACCATCTTCTGAAAGGTCATAAATACTGGCTTTGCCAGCAATACAACTTTCTGTGAACAAATATTAAAAAAAAAACAAGAGACCACTGAATCACAGCACTGTCATGGCGCAGAAGGAGACCAGTCAACCCATCACACTAGTGCTTCTGGGAAAACTAGCAAAACTTGAGAAGGAACAAAGTGTCTCATGGTCTTGAAGGCAAATTCAGACATTTTAAATGGAATGGGATTGGAGACCTGAGCTAGCTGCAATGGGTCTGGTTTTAGAGAGGGAAGTGTAAAGGAGTGCTACCATTTCAGGGCAGAGATTCCCCGGATAGACAACTAAACCACCCCACCCTCCAAAAA